GCCTGGATTAGAATCCTTTCTCAAACACCTACCAGCTCTGTGATCCTAGACAAATCATTTAATTTCCTCACCTATAAAATAGGGATAAAAGCAGAACCTCCTTCACTGACTTGTTTTGAGGAGGAAGAGAGGAAAAAAAACAGAGTTGAAAAAGTGTGTGTCGTGTGTGTAAATGTGAGCAAAGCAACTGTTAGCTGTTAACGTGATTACTATTCTTTGGATACCCTTGTTTGGTAGCCACCCCGCATGTGATTTTGATTCCTTGATGCTTCTTATACTCCCCATGCCCCAAGTCTGTTTATTACAGATTTCATTTATCTTTCCTTTTCTTTTTCTTTGCATTTTATCTATCTTTATCTATTGGCGGACACTTCCCAAATGTATATCTCCTTTCCTAAATCCTTTATCTTGTAAATGCTGCCTTTGGGAGCTCTGTAACTGGATATCTTTTCAAATACAACTTGCCTACTAGATTTCTAGAGCAGGCCCATAACTGCATGCCTTCCTGAGTATGATGCCTGATACAGGGGAGATGCTCAATAAATATTTACTGAATGAATGAAAGGATCTTCCTCTTTCTCTTCTAACTAACACCAAGTATGTCTCTTCTATGAGGCTAATGCCTGAACTATTTTGATATAAAATATATTAATAAACTGTTCTTGTCTTTAATGATTTTAGATAATCTGAGCAACCAAAGATAAAAGATGGAAATGGAGAATGATTAGCTATAACTTTGTATTTGGAGGTTGGAGTGTATGTTTCTAAACATTAATCTTTGGCATTGGCAAGCCATTGGTAAGGATGATTATTAGGAAATCTCTCATTGTTACTAGACAATTGTGTTATCTGGAAGCAGCCAGAGATAAAGTAAAAGATGTGGTAAATCCAGTGAATATTCACATTCCAGGAGAAAATGTAGAATGCTGCTTCCATGTTAAAGGGAACTCAGAAGCTGAGAAAGGACAGGAGAATCCAGGCACTAGACACACATTCTAAGCAGGAAAGAAGTGAACTAATTCTGTGATCTGTGTGGATGTTCATCTCTGAAAGATGAAGCAGTGATGACTTGAAGGCAGTACGGGCTCATTAAGAAAAAATATGTTACAGGAATTTCATCTCCTTTTTGACAGGGTTTACAGATGGATAAATCAGAAAAAATAATGCAGTGGCATGGGATATTTGGCCTTTCCCAGGGCATTTTGTGATACATTTGTGAAAGATGAAGAAATGCAGGCCATGAAATAACATGAATGGGTGAATATATAGTTGGTTGAACACACATCCCCAACGGGTAGTGATTAACAAGAGTATTTGAATGCATGTCGTTCTTTTTTGTGATGTGCCTCAAGGATCTGTATTTTGCCCTAGTCTCTCATCATTATTATCTATTACTTCTATGAATGGACAGGAAATGTGTATAAAATGTGAATAAAATCAGCCTGAGTAGGACAATAGATATGATGGATGAAAGAAACAGGTATTTATTAGAATGTACTCAAAATGTTTTATACTGCAGCCCTGGGTTTAAGCATCCATCTCTTCAGTGGAATTGATATAGGCTGTCTTAATCTCCTCATGCTCTTAATATTTCACAATGTCTAGCATATAGTGGTGTTTAAATGTTGCTGGAATCTTGAGAAGCTTGAAGGCTAGGTCAAATTTAGTAAGGTATATGAATACCAACAGAATTAGTAGTCAAATGTGGCTGTCAAAATAGTGAATGTGAGCTTACAGATTAATATGAGCATCGTATCTACAAGCAGGGAGGTGTGACTCTGTAGTTACTAGATCACATATGTATTACTGTGCTTAATTCTAGAGACTGGCTCGACCAACTGGAAAAGATTCAGAGAAAAGCTGCTAGATCTGCCTGAAGCTATTCCTTTGAAAAATGACCAAAAAAGTGACCATTGGAAAAGGACATGATGGTTGTTTCTAGATATAAGTAGGCTTCATGTGGAAAAAGGAGAGTAAATTTGTTCAGTTTATTGCCAAGGATTAGATTGGGGCCAGTGGGTAAAAATGAAAGGAAATGTATTTGGATCAATGTCTGGACTATGCTATTCTTGAATATAAAAATGGTTTTCTATGACTAGAGGTGTGCATCAGAGGTTAGGTAAAAATCGGCAGAAGTAGGGTAGGTAAGTTTTCACATAATTTAGGTAGCTGACGAAATCTTGAAGATCAATTTAAAATCTAAGATGCCAACTCCCACTGATTTTATTGGTGAGTCCCCAGCTTATTATGAAATTAAAAGCATGTGATGCTGCTCATACATGTGTTTAAGCATATTAAAAACAAAAGGTCAAGGGAACCAGCAGTTAGTGTAATGGCTATGTTGCTGGACTCCCACGTAATCAACCGCGGTTCGTGTTCCGGACCCGGTGGCTTAAAACTCACGCCGGGCGCGTGTGCGTGCATGCCCAAGATCCCGAGAGGAGAATGGAGGAGAAGGGATTGTGGTGTGACCCTCCCCCCTGGGGGGTGATTCTTCGCTTTATGTATGTCTCTCTCTGTCTGTCTGGCGAGCGGACGCGCCCTACAGTAAAAATCTTCCCAAAAAAAAAAAAAAAAAGGTCAATTGTTGTTAATTAGGAAAACACATGAGGGGCCAGCAGGTAGCATAGCAGTTATGTCTCTGCACTCCTACATGGCCGACCACAGTTTGAGTCCTGGACTGGTGGCTTGAAAAGCACACCAGGCACACGCGCATGCATGCCCAAGATCCTGGAAAGAGAATGGAGGAGAAGGGATTGTGGTGTGGCCATCCCCCTGGGGAGTGATTTCTCACTTTCCCTCTCACTATTTGTTTCTCTCTCTTTGGTGAGTGCCTTAAGGCAAAAACCTTTTTTTAAAAAAAGGAAAGAAAACACGTGTGTGTTTTACACAACGTGTGAAACAGTTCTTCTATTTGTGTTCAGAACAGTACAGAAAGTTTGACTTCTCTCAGCACCATCTGTATCTGAGAAATATATGAAGCAAGCGAAAGACATTGTAAAACTCTGGTTTTAAAACAAAAGACTTCCAAGACTGCAGACTTCAAGTAATATTAAATACATATAATAATTTGAATCTGAAATATGGGGAGGCTTCAAAAAGTTTCTGGAAAAATCAAATGAAAGTATGAAATGAAAAAAACTGAAATCCATGCATAGGGTTTTCATAATGCACATTTTTCATGAACTCTCTGAAGATCCTTCATAAACCAGAGAGAGAATGTGTATGTGGAGCTTTGGGGGTGGGTAAACACAGGAAATGTTTGAAATTATTATGTCTGGCTAAAATAAGAAAAATCATACATAATCCTACTTGCTTGTCTTTGCAAATTTTCTTAATTATCACTTTGTCTGCTTCCTTCATTTTCCAGAGCACAACAGTGTCTGGCTCATAGTTGATAGTCAATATATGTTCAATTAAAGAAAATTGAAGCATACTATTTCTTTATGACAGCCATGGCAAGCTTTCATTTTGATTCATGTGAAGTTTTGAGGCTGGACTAGATGCATTAATAAAACTGATATTACTTAAAAAGAAAATCCCTATATACAGTTAGACCAAGAAGATATGAATAGAAAGAATATTAGTGAAAGCATTTAACTTGTGCAAATACACAATAGAAGAAAAGGGACCCTCTACAAAAAGAAAAAGAAGCAGGCCAGGGTTTACCAATGATTAAGAAATGGTTCTACCTTTAATCAAGTGATGAAAGATTGATGTTTTACATAATTAAACTCCTGATGAAAATGTGAGTAATGAAAAGTCAGGAAAACAAATTGGGAAAGCATAAATTTTATATATGTCCTTATTTTCTTTTAACTCATTTTCTTAAAGCAAGAGGAGAAACTAGACCAGAAAAATAGGGTGGGGCAATACTATTGATTCTCTCCAAACACTACAATACCCAGCCAAAAGATTGTGACAACTCTCATAACAGTTGCTACTGCCATAAAGAAATATTTATCTTGATTTTTGTCAACATTAATTATCAAGAAATAGTAATATTTTTAGAGGTTTTTGCTATAGGGCACGTGCGCTCACCAGACAGAGAGAAAGAGAGACAGAGAGATAGAAAGCAAGAAATCAGTCCCCCCCCAGGGGTGGGGATGGCCATGCCGCAATCCCTTCTCCTCTATTCTCCTCTTGGGATCTTGGACACACACGCACACACACCTGGTGTGAGTTTAAGCCACCGGGTCCGGGATGCGAACCATGGTCAACTATGTGGGAGTCCAGAGACATAGCCATTATGCTAACTGCTGGCCCCAAAATAGTGATTTACTGTGACACTGCTGTAGTTAAAATTTTGGCTATCATATTGGCTAGTCATCCTTTTAATAAGACATACCTTTGAAAGGGTTTCTATACACGTATAGAGACATGCATCCTTAAAAATCTAACGCTGACGTATGTTTCTGGAATAACATACAAACAAATTCGTCAGAAACAAGTCTTCTTTTAGTTGTGGGGATAATTCATTAAAATATTCCTCAGAACTGGTGAAGAGCATTCTGTCATACTGCATTTTGGTCAGGAACTGTCATGAGATACAATATCCTGATCTCTTTCAAACCTTCTAAGAACAGGTGCTTCTTTTCCTTCCTAATAAAATTTTTTGGGAGAATGTGCAAACACAGACTAAACTATGTCAAACCTTTAGCTTCTAAGAACAGGTGCTTATTTTCCTTCCTAATAAAATTTTTGGGAGAATGCGCAAACACAGACTAAACTATGTCAAACCTTTAGAAAGAAAACACTGTTCTTTTAAAAAGGTTGTTTCTGTAGCCAGAGAATCAAAAGGGGCATTGCAAGCAGTTCTGGAAATACAACTGAGATGCAATTTGATAAGAGCCTTCCATCATTCTAGCCATACCTGTGAGAAAGCAAGTTATCAGCATTTTTATCAAAGGCACTATTGACTCTTCTCTTTCTATTTCATTTTATCATGACTTTCTCTTTTTGTTTACTCAGTCGATGATTGTGGAAAAATGATCCCTTACCCTTTGGATGCGACGTGGTGGAGTCTGCCAGAGGAGGGTCCTTTTCTGCATCTCTGCTGCTGCTGCTCTCCTCGCGGCCACCATCCTTTTCTATCAGTTTGTCCACCATAGCAATAACGCAGTTCAGGCTCTTCCCCACATTGGCCCACACCCTATCCTGAAAAGAGCATGAGTATCACTGCACATTGTATTGCAAAAACAGAAGAAGGCACAACCAGATGGATCCATTTGAGAGAAGCAGTTGGGATAGCAATCATTAGACTGGAGATTGAGTGACAAACTCTAATATTCCTATTAATTTTGTTAGACTGTAGATAAACAAGAAATCTATTTTCTCTTAGTGAGGCAAAAATTAAGTGTTATGAATCCTTTTATTTAGTCCATTACTTTTGCTCTGTCTTATAGGAATGAGGAACCATACAGTACTAATCTATAATTGAGCATAATGTATGACATTTTAAATGGAGATATCTATCTTTTTCATTAGCATTTAGTAAGAAAGCAAAGACAGCAGTATTTTCAAAGAATAGCTACCACTTGCATTAGAAATGCATGTTTTCTTTTTTATTGTGATAATAAATGCAGGAACTATACCATTGAACCCATTTTTAAGTGTGTAATTCAGTAGCATCAAGTATCATCACATTGCTTTGTGACCATCACCACCCATCCACCTCCAGAACCTTTCGTCTGTCCAAACTGAAACTCTGGACCCATTACACACAAGCTCCCTATTCCTCCCTTCCTCAGTCCCTCATTGGGGGACAGACCATCATTCTACGTCTGTCTCTACAGATTGTCTGCTCTAGACACTGGAAATTCTGTAAGCTTAGTCTTCCGACTGCTCTAAGAGGATGGTCTAGAGAATTAATCTGTAGATCCCTGGGACCCACCTCGCTGATCAGAGCTACCAAGGAGATGGTACGCTAAAGTGAAATTTGACATTTCCCAGATGCCCTGGCCACACTAAGTCTTGGAACCTCTATTAATATCACGTGCTACAGTTACTTAAGTCACCTGTGGCGATTTATTTCCTCGGAGGCAGCCCATACCGCTAAGATGCTTCTTTGTTACTAATCTTTCTGGTTCTGATTCATGCCGAATTTTGTTTAGTGCAAATGCATAAAACTGAATTCTTGTAGTCATATAAATTGCTATTTTCATTTTTATTTATTTTTTTAATTGTCAGAGAGTATGTATGCATGCCTGGGGTGGAGGTGGAGGAGAGAGAAAAAGCATTTCCAGTGGGTGTGGTTATGCTACAACACTTCTCCATTTCTTCATTCTGTCAGGATTTGGAGCACACACACATGCCCAGTGTGTTTTTTCAGCTGCCAGGGTTGAGATTTTAGCGAAGGTTTGCCGTATGGGATCCAACTCCCTTAACCACCCAGCTATGGGACTGACCTGCTATTAATTTTAAAATAGAAATGCTTTTTTTAAAATTTTTTAAAATTTTTCTTTGGAGAGGTTTTTGCTATAGGGCACATGTGCTTGCCAGGAAGACAGAGGCAGAAAGTGAGGAATCACCCCCCAGGTGGACACATTGCAATCCTTTCTTCTCCATTCTCCTCATGGGATCTTGGGCACACATGCACATGTGCCCAATGTGGGTTTAAGCCACTGGGTCTGAACTCGAACCGTGGTTGACTACATGGGAGTCCAGCGACATAGCCATTATGCCAACTGCTGGTCCCAAAATAGAAATTTTACATATAGTTGTGGTGGAAGCCTGTCATTCCTGGCTTCTGTTCTCGCTCCTCTCCTTACATCATTAGATGAATGCACTGACTCCTCATACCTCTTTTCAGGCATAAGAACCAAACAATATATGGCATTTTCCCTATTATTATGTCAAAAGGCAATCTTTCCATAGATGATTTCTCTGTAAGTTATTTCAAGGACCTAGGGTATCACTTGATAAAAAATAATATTCAATTGGAATCGGATGGTGGCTCTTTAGGATTGACTACAAGAGTAAGTTCCTGATTCACAACTGAACACCTCCCTAAAATCATCATTTCAGACTGCTTCCATATTGAAGAAAGGGTGGTTAATGAGAAGACAAGGGAAGCATCGAAACATGGCTGTAGGGTCCAGAAGGTGGAGCAGAAGTAAATGTGCTCAGTGAGGCAAGAACACATGGAAGGTTCCCAGTTCAAGATCAGAGGCTTCCCTGAATTTACCAGGTGTGCGCGTGCCCTGCCCATGATGCAGGACAGTTGAGGGGTGGACTGGGGCTTTGGGACCCCTGTTAGGGTGCTATTTCTCTCTCTCTTGCCCTCTCTCTTGTGAAAGAAGTAAATCAACTTTTTGTTTGTTTGTTTTGGTAAATTTTGTCAGAGAGTGTGTGCATTCACCAGAGGGAAAAGGAGAAAGCAACCCCCAGTGGGGTATGAACACTGCAATGCTTTCTCCATCTTGTCAGGATCTGGGGCATGCACATGCATGTGACCAGCATGTTTTTCAAGCTGCTAAGTCTAGAATTCGAAGTAGGTGGTCAGTCATGTGGTTTGTGGCTCTCTTAACCACCAGGCCATAGAGACAGCCCAAAGTTAATAAACTTAAAAAAAGAAAATGAATGTGGGCGCCATCCTATGGCCAGGTGGCTAAGGTCTGAGAGACTCAGAGTGTCACATATGTGTGCATGCATGCCCCAAAATATCCTGAAAAAAGGGCGAAATGGAGAAGAGAGGGCAGTGCCCCAGAGGAGTGTGTATGTCTCTCTGGCATGCCTCTCCCCACCCCCATGCCTTCTGGAAAATAAAAAAAAAAAAAAAAAAAGAAAAATGTGGCCGCAGTTCACAGTGCTCCCAGTCCCTTCTTTGTTAGGCTAGGGAAGTAAATATCTGGTCTAAATCCTGTTTGGTTCCCCTGCCACATGACAGGGTTGAAAATAACCACTACCTGTCAGACAAAGACACTGCTGGGCCGTTCACCCAGAGATAGCAGTCCTTAGCCCGCTAGATCTCCTACATGAACGAAGCAATGGAAAATTAGTGGGTTAAAGCCTGACTTTGACTAAATAGAGCCTAGCTGGTATCCTTCACCTTAAGGATGCCATGACCACATCTTTAGTCCTTGAAAGTGAAGTGACTAAAAACATTTTCTCGATGACGAGGGCATAAAGTCAGTAGGGAAGGAGCAGTGACATTTACTCCCTTCTATCTGGTTCTTATTTTTGGGTCCATATCTAAACTAACATTCAGGTCGAGCCCAATGGCACAGAGGCAAACATGTGATGACTGCACCATTGAATAGCCAAGGGAACCTTGCGCCTGGCTGAAGGAACCATGAGAGTAGAGGACATGATGAGTATTCAGTAGGTCATACCCTTGTGAACTTGTAATACCAAGTGAAACAGTTGATCAGCAGTTAACCTAAGAAATACCCAGTAATGCTTAGCTGATCAACTTTTCTAAGGCTAACTTTTGATCAGCAAGAAGGTGAAGCCTAAATAACTTTGTCCAAAGTCCAAAATAGCTTTGTAACATCTATATTTTCATGAATAATTTCCTTGTCATTACCAATTTCTGAGATCTTTGATTAGAAATAGTGAATTAACAAGGGCAGTCCAGGTTTATAAAGGAGGCTTCAGTTTATCCTTGAGTTGATTGAGAATAATTACTTTAAACTGGCTTCCTATAACATGGCAAACCCTTGCTCCTTCAGTAGCTTTGTAGTTCTTTTCTCTGCCTAACTTTACCCAGACAGTTAAGTAAAAGGAGTTGCTTTAAGATATGTAATGGAGGGGACCAGCAGTTAGCGTAATGGCTATGTCGCTGGACTCCCACGTAGTCAACCACGGTTCACATCCTGGACCCGGTGGCTTAAAACTCACGCCGGGTGCGTGTGCGTGCGTGCCCAAGATCCTAAGAGGAGAACAGAGAAGGGATTGCAACGTGGCCATCCCCCCTGGGGGGAGGGGTGATTTCTCACTTTGTCTCTCTTTCTCTCTTTGTCCGGCGAGTGCACCAAAAACTCTCCAAAAAAAAAAAGAAAAAATGATATGTAATGGAGAGGGCACTAACAGGTGGTATAGTGGTTAAGACTCTGGACTCCCACATGGCCGATCACAGCTCGAGTCCTAGACCTGGTGGCTTGAAAATCACATCAGGTGTATGTGCATGTATGCTCAAAATCCTAGAAGGAGAATGGTAGAGAAAGGATTGCAGCATGGCGATCCCGAGGGGGGTGATTTCTTACTTTCCCCTCATTCTCTCTCTCTAGCAAGCACATGCACCTCATGACAAAAACCTAAACAAAAATAAAGGCATTTAAACGAGTAGAAACTGGCACATGTATGGCCCATGCTATATAATACACATGTTGATACATTCATAATCACACATGTTCACCAAAAATACCCAGACCCATTACGTCAATCAAAATCAAATGAGATTTTTCAATCTTTGCTTCCTACTGGTCCACCTGCTTTAAACTTCACTTACTCATGGAAAAATGTCTAACCTTCATTTCTCAATAATAACACTTAGTTTAGAATTCACCCCTGGCCTCACCCTGAAATTCAGGCCCTAGCCACACACATGGGCTTGGAAGATCAGCCACTGTTCCTGCAGCATTGACCTCTCCCTATTCCCCTGGCTTGGAACTTGCCCAGCCCTGTCATCAGCTGTCACACAGTCGGGCCTGTGCCCAAGTGCCACAGTCATCTTCATCAATCACCCTGCATACTTCATCACTCCTGATCAAAAGGAGATTAGTATGACAGGCGGCATCACACTTTCCTCTCATCCTGGAGGTACCTCTATAGTTGATTAGACCTAGATAATTTTCTTTATTTCTCATTCATCTTCAAAATGAAAGCTTCATCCAGCTTAGTCTCCTTGTTAAAATATGTAGGTAAATGAGCTCAATAGGTATTTATTAAGTATCTGCCACAACATGCTCAGTGCTAAATATCAAAGATAAGGAAACCCTGGAGGATCTAATATCTCTATTGGGCCACTGGGAATGTCATGACATATTTTTGCATAGAAAAACATCTCATGACTTTTCCAATGACTCAGTACCTTAACACAGACTGATTCTTATACCAACAATGTTCCCCCTTATTTTCCATCAATCTAAATTCCTACCCTTTTTATTCTCACCATTTGTAAAAACTACTCTTTTTACTCTCTTCTTGAGTACTAT